TGCCCTTACTTTCTAATTTGATACTTGTTTTTATCTTTACATGCTTCCATAAGCTTTTCACTTTGCTGTTGCTAAACCTGAATGTCTCCACTGTGGAACAATAAGGGTTAGTTCTGTTGCATCTTAAATATCTGGTACACAGCAAAAAATGGAAATCTAAATGAGCCATTTTTGCTTAAATTAAGTGCATTTTTTCTTGATTTGAGGAGGTAAATGACATATAGCCAATAGAACAAGACAATTTACATTTAAAATAAGAAAAAACAATTGCCTTGTCTAATTTCAAGAGCATATTATCTAATTATCTTATTTTAGGAGTAAAAATACTAATTCCATTGGCAAAGTATCTTATTTATCTGCTAAAATTAAGGGTAAATACACTCAATTTAACATATGTAATCACAGTGTAATCTGTGGTGGACATTTAAGAAAATGCATATTAGGGGGTTTGGATGCTTTGCAGGGCACTGGGAGTTATAAATAATACTGAAACTCTGCAGGAATTCACTAAGACACTTTTTCTGAAGGTCTGTTTGGGTTTTTTTTCTGTTTACCTTTTAAATCAGAAGGAAGTGACCTTCTCCAAAAGAGCAGGATTACCTCTAAGTGTTATCAACGTGGAAGTGTGAGAAGTGGATTCACATTTAGCCAGCAGCCTGTGTGTGTGTGTGTGGTGGTTGGGGGTTATACATTTTTTGATGACACTCCTGTCTGTGTGAGTGTTGGTTTCTCACAGTGTGAAGGTCAGACATGTGAAAGTCTCATGTGGGAGCAGCCCGGCGCTGGCTAAGAGCCCTCAGAGTGTAAATGGATCCACAACAATAGGCCTCGTCTTACTTGATGGACTTGATCCATTCCTCCTTCTCCTCCTGGGTGGGGGCCGATATCCTGTACACTACGTGGTTTCCCTCCACAACGCGCCCGTCTGCCTCCGTCTTGCAGGCCTTGATGACCTGCCCTTTGTGGCTGGGGTTGTAGAGCTCAAAGCAGTTCTAGGAAGCAACGATAAGCGGTAATCAGCATTTCACGGAAACAAACAGGAGAAATATGTTTTTATTTAGGCAACAGGAAATGTGCAAACTGAAATAACGGAGAGGAGCTCCTTACAGGTTTTCTTGGCTCATCCACCTCTCTGATGCTGAGGTTCTCTAGGGGAATGATCCCACGAGGCTCTTTATCCTTAGGAAACAAACAAACCATCCGGGAAGCATCAACATGTTGCTCATTTTGTGAATTAATTTTCCTACATTTAAGATCATTACCAGGACAACATCCATTCATAAAGAAGCACATAAGAAACTTTGCTCAAAGTTTACATCGCCACACAGCATCAAATTCATTTTATCTTGCAGTAGCACACTGGGGGGAAAAAACCCTAAATATCCATGCTATGCTAGTAAGGGAAAGATGTTTATCCTCAAACATCAGGTTATAGTGAAGAAAACTACTACTTGTCTGAACTTGCTCATATCTATGGTCAGATCTGCATTCAGCATGCCAGGAACAAAATCCTTCCTTTGCTTTTATCACAAACATAAACATGAGGAGTTTGATTTTATGCTACCAGTACAGCTGGCTCTGGTCAGATGATGATCAGCTCCTTACTCATCATAACTGATGACTGAATATAAAAGTTTTGTAGTATGACGCACAAAGAATGAGCAGGATATAACATTTGCTATGGTTCAGTGTTGTGATGTACAATAGAGGCAGATAATATAGCACACCACAATGTGCATTTTAAATAAATCTTCCAGTTGAGTTGTATGGAGAATATTGTCCATTTCTTATATTATGGTGGAGGAGGTGGGATGCTATGGGCCTGTTTCCCTAGAAAACTCATGAACTCTGATATTTTGGGACATTGTTAATAAAATTCATATCATTTTGTGTTTCAGTGCAATACTAATCTATTGTCCAAATCACAGTTTTTTCTGTTATCAAACCTTTTTTCACTATCATTTCAGTCTTTAGACCTAAATCCGATAGTAAACCCATGTACTGATTAAATCAGAAGAAAGGATATACCTTGCGTCATATATACCATAAAAGCAGATTTGGTTATATTTCCTTAAATTGATCATAATGTATGTTGAAAATATTATTAGCACTGCAAAAGTATTTCTGAAATTAGGTCTAAGTATCATCAGTATAATGCTTTATCTAGTGATTCTCATCAAGCTTTGTTGTTATTTATTTGTACATATTTTCTGTAATTTTATTTGATAGAAATGTCACCAGGACCAATGCTAGGACCTGTAGCGTTAGCTCCATCCAGTCAAAGCAGCAATAAGTCATTTAAAACGTTTCAGATTGAACTGAAATAAAAGGAAGTTGATATAAAATATACAGGTAGAATTATGTTTTATAGTGAGTTACAGACAAGTCTGTCTATTTAAACAGTTATTCATTATCTCCCAATATTATTTCCATGTCATGTTAGCCTCTGCTAATGGTTTTAGCTCCAGCTAATATAGTAAACAGTAGTTTACTGTGTTTGTTTTTCTCATGTATGACGGTTTATTAAGACTTCGAGGCAGCGACGCAGTGGAGCATCGTCACAAATTCCACCAGTCAAATGTAGTATGATAAAAAACTGCACAGCTAATGTTAGCCTTCCTGTTTTACTCTGTAGCTTTAAGTCCAGTAAGGCCTAACTGCACATCAACCCAGCATGCATTGCAAGGGTGAAAAAATGGTGACCTCCATGGGGGAAAAACATAAGAATACACTACTTTTAAATATAACGCAGTTTTTAATGTAGCCCAAACTGCAATTTTTAATTTAACAGGAAAATAACAATATATTTAGCCCAACATGTTCAACTAGTCATAGTTTTTCTACTGTTTCTTTTAACCTGTAATAATTCCAAATAATTGTGTTTTTTTTTTGTTAGTATAAGATTGTCCAAATTCAACCAGAAAGAGGCATGTAGGTGTTTGTTGCACAACATGCCAGCACCATATTACATAAATAGAGTTCAAATCACCTTAAATAAATTTAATGCAAAATGAACTCATCTGAAGTGTAGGGAAGAGGATTAGGGCCACTGGAAAAAAAAAAGTTAACTGATTTTTAAATTTTATTTCAGTTTATTATGGGAACATTTTTTTGTTTTTATTTATTTTTTTATTTTCAGAATTCAGTCAGAATTCTGAGAAAAAAGTCAGAATTCTGAGATTAAAGTCAGAATTCTGAGATTAAAATCAGAATTCTGAGAAAAAAGTCAGAATTCTGACTTTTTTCTCATACTAAACTGAAATAAAATTTAATAATCAGTTAACGTTTTTTTTTAGTTTTTTTCAGTCGCCCTTCTTCTTCTTCTCTTTTTGTTCCTTTATACTTAGAGCTAAGGAGTATCTGAGTGAACAAAAAAAAGGTTAACTGAAAACATGCTGAAGGTTTACATTCTTCCTAGCCACATAGGGGAAATAACCCCGGGGGGAAAGTTAACCTTTTGGTCCATGTTCATCCGCTGTTGCTTACTTGTCTTTTTTGTTTTTACAACTGTTGCAGAGTGATTCTGTTTATGTTTTACGCCATTTCTCTAAAAGGAAAATAATAAAGTAATACTAATACTGATCTAAAGAGTAGCAGAGTAGCAGTAGCTGTGTACACATGGAGAAAGGCAGCAGGAGTAGAAAACATGTCCTGGACAAAAGCTCCCAGCAGGTTTGGTGTGATCCTCAGAACCTATACAGGCTCTAGTGTATTCCAGGTGGTGGGGTTTTAAGGGGGGGGTTACATCCTTGCAGTGCCAGATGTGTTGCTGTGGATTTTGCAGATGTTTTAAATTATGCCTCATGTTAATTGGAAGAGCGTGGCTCATTTGGTTCCAAAGAGAAACATCTGTTAAATAGTAAACCCGGAGGCCAAAGACTTGTGCCACTTTCTTTACATCTGTGACTAAGAAATTAGATTTGCTTTATTTGCTTCTCAAACTTTGTCCAGTCTTTGGTCAAGTTTGAGTTTTAAAACTTTAGCATAACTCAATGAAGCAATGATCATGCAGATGTTGAGCAAAGACATGGTTCTTAATCTGACCTAACTTATCATTCTTTTTATCTTTACAATGTTTGTATTTCCTGTTTGCCTTTTAATATTATATTGATGCCAGTCAGAAGCAAAGTCCTTTACAGCTAACTTTATTTTAGAGGCACTCATTATGCCCTGCGGAAAATTAAATCACAGGAACAAATCACTGCATAAACCTTCAGTTAATTAAATCATATTGGAGATTTTACCATTGCTACTTTTATAATGGTGAATGTTGAGTTATTTATTCCTAATGTGACTGCGATGGCCTTACTTTTAACACATTTTTAACAGATTTTTTTAATTTCAGACATATGAATCAATTTAACTATTTTAAGATACAAGCCTGGAAACAATAAAGAAGCATTTTAAAAATGCTGCTCTTTAACTGCTGATGAGTGTTTTGTGGTACTTACTGTCGTGTACTCAAAGTAATAGAGGCAGTTGTCAGTCAGGATAAACCATCTTCTCTTCCACGTTTTGACTCTGCCGCCTATCAGTGAGAAACAAACAGTATTTAAGCAAGTTTTCCCACATAAAACCGAGAGTAAACCCCAGTTTTATGAGCCACATCTGGTGGTATCCAAGGCTCTAACCCCTCCCCCTGATCCCTAGGGGGAAGTAAGGAGAGTTTGGGAGGTTAAAGTCATTTGAACATTGTTTTAACTTGAAGAAAAGGCATCCAGGAACCAGCCCACATGGCAGCTGCAGCATCAGGGTCCACTGCAGCTCAGACTAGGCACGGTCAACATGTTTATGGGTTCCACTTGACCAGAAAACCAATAAACCAGGACATTTTTTAAACAAAAGTTTAGTTGATACAAATCTAACTCAGACCTTTTTTATTTGCTCTATCGGAGGCAAAATCTCTACCTGCCCCCATCTCACAGGTTTTTCGGATTTTCTGTTTCTAACCCCATCTGAGCACCACCTATTCCATCAATACATGATCTGCAATTTGTTCTCCATAAGGACATCTTTGCTGAATCAGCAGAAAAACAGCCGTTAATGATGCAATCACTAATCAGACAGACTATTCGATTTACGTCCACGTTTAGGTTTAAGTCTGCTGCAGTTTAACCCGCAATCCTTTGTTCAGCACAGCTAATCTGCTTCAGCCATATGTTTGAAGTTATCCTCAAAAACGGACATTTATGATGGGAGGATTTACAGGCTGCCAGTGCAAATTTCAAGGATTACTTGCTAAATTACTTTTGAGACCTCATGTGCTAAATAATAGGAGCACTCTATAATAGTTAACCAGTTCTCTTTGTTTTTACCTTAGTTTGCATTTAATACCCAGATAGAATGGAGAATTCCTTTTGCTTGTTATTTCAAATTGCATCTTCAGTTAAGTTTTGATTCCTATCTTAATATATCTGTTTTAATCTATTTTTTGTACAGTGGATGACAGCTGTTATTCATTTTATGGTGCATTCAATGTATCTGCTTCTGAATCTATTTGTGGAGATTTCTATGAGGTGGCACAACAGATGGCAGTGAGAGCGGCCATCTGAGCCTGGTTCTGCTGGAGGTTTCTTTCTGTTAAAAGGGAGTTTTTCCTCTCCACTGTCGCTACAAGCATGTTTAGTGTGAAGGATTGGTGAAGAGTCAATGAGTCGATGCAATCAGCTGGTTTTCCTTAGATAGAAAATTTTGAATCAATCTGACTGGATGATCTGGTTGAACTGTAAAGTGCCTTGAGATGACGTGTGTTGTGAATTGGCGCTATAGAAATAAACTGAATTGAAATGAATAAGACCCATATTGTACCATATTTCCATTATTCCCACCCAGATCGAAATTCAAACCCTTACATTTTTCCTTTTGCTCCATATTTCTCAGGTGATAAAACGACAGCAAGGTTAAACACAAAGTAAACATGGGCCTCCTAATGACCTCCTGACAGGCAGTGTTGCTAAGCTTGAAGCTAACCTAAATTACAAGTAAATACATCTGCTTGTTTTCTGTGCAAACATTTAAAACGTTGGAAGTCATGCCATTCTGTTACTGCAACAGCCGAGGCAAACACAAACACCTGCCCAGAGGTAAAACAGTTTATTAACCCGTTCACCAATAGTTGTTTTCAGTTTTTTGGTTATTCTATTATCTATTTTAAAGGGTACATTATATCTGCAGCCAAGGTGTTCAGAAGTTCTGCAGAATTGATGGAATTGATGGATACCAGAGTACCTAACAACCTAATTATTACTGATACAAGTGATAGCGACTGTTAGGGAATGTTACCTAAAAGTTATAGTTATTAACTCAGTTACTGCACAATCAAAGTGACTAGTCAAAGAATTTATGCAAATTGTTTTTATGATCTAGAGTTATGAAAAATAATGAAAGTGTTTATGTTTTCAGAACTTTAAATACATCTGGAGGTTCAGCTATGAAATAGATGTTTGATAATAATTACACATTAATTACACATCTGCAAACGTTCAGTACTAATCTGCACCATTCTGGTGTGTTTGATGGGACATGTGAGCGGCAATATATTCATGTAGATGGGATTGTTTCTGGTTCATAAAAAAAGAGCAAAAAAGCAAATTAGATGTTTTAGAGCTTTATGTTTTTGCACCTCGAGAAG